GGGCATGTACCTAGGTTGCAATTTGTCCCTGGCCCTGGTTGAGTCATGTGGGTGGCAACCACTTGATGTGTCCCTTTCATATCGACATGGATATTTCTCTCTCTCTCTCTCTCCCTCCAACTCTATCTGAACAAAATATCAAAAAATGTCCTTGGGTGAGGATAAAAATAAATAAATAAATAAAATGATAAAACTTGCTTGGCCAATGTGGCTCAGTGGTTGAGCATCGACCCATGCACCAAGAGGTCTCTGGTTTTATTCCTGGTCAGGGCACATGCCCAGGTTGAGGGTCCAGTTCCCAGTGGGAGTCCTGCAGGAGGCGGTCAATCAATGTTCTCTCATTGATGTTTCTCTCCCTCTCTCTCTAAAACCAATAAAGAAAAAAATATTTTAAAAAGTTAAAAAGAATAAAATAAAATGATAAACTTTATGTTCTATTTTACTACAATAAAAAGATACAGAGCAGCCCTGGCCAGTTTTGCTCAGCGGTTAGAGCGTTGGCCTGCGGTCCGGAGAGACCCGGGTTCGGTTCCCGCTAAGGGCACGTACTTCGGTTGCAGTTTGTCCCCAGCCCTGGTCAGTCGTGCGGGTGGCAGCCACTCGATGTGTCCCTTCACATCGATGTTTCTCTCTCTCTCTCCCTTCCTCTCTCTCCCTCCCACTCTATCTGTACAAAAAATGGAAAAATATTCTCGGGTGAGGATAAAAAAAAAAGATACAGAGCAAATGAAGCAATAAGGGCAATTACTAATTTTGGGAAAAGTAAAAGATTAGACACGAAAGTAGCTGTGATTTTAAGACATGACAAGGCATGGTTCTTTTTGCATATTTACAAAAACTAAATTAGTATAGATTTAACCAAAAGCTGAGATATTAAGAGAGTAGAGGACAGAGGTTTCTTTGGGGAGTTGTAATAAGAACATTCTTCCTCACCTACCACAAGCCAACAGACAATATCTAAACTGACAAACAGAAAAATAGAAATATAAGCTTATTATTTAGAAATATGGAGATTAGTAACAGGATGGTTTCTCTGGTGAGGGGAACTGTGGGAGGGACAGAACGGGGGGAACAGGAATTGCGAGTGTTTGTTAAACGCATTCCGGCCCCATTTGAATTTTTAACTGCATATGTACAAGTATTTCTCTAAAAATATACTTAGACAAAAATGGAAGCAGAGGGAAATGTTTGTAACTTAGCCTTTTAACTGAAATTGGAAAAACAATCCAAGGTCAATAGATTTCATTATATGAAAAGTCCAAAAACTGGGTACATCAAAATATATCTTCAGTTTCTGGAACTGAAAATAATGGCTTGTCACCTGCTAATGTCCACACATCTCTTAAAAAACTTTAAGACCAACAAACGGGGATGTGGAAAGGGTGCTAGGTATGAAAGGGTAGAAACTGCAGAAATGGTTACTGGTGCAAGTGTCTACAGCAATCGGGAGATCAAATAAATCAGGGAAACAGGATAAACAAGTGACCACGCCAGGTGTAAGACCATGGGGTATTGGCGACCACAGGAAGTGAGATGTACATGTCCCTGTCTGGCAATATTGAAATAGGAAACAATTTAAAACATTCCAAACCAGCTTCCCCGTTGGCAACCTTGAGTGAAGGCAACAGAAAAAGGTTTGAAAGTGGCCGGGTTAGAGAAGAGCAAGGTCACTGACTCCTCGGGTCCCTTCAGCGTTCCCAGGGACAGAGAACGCCACCGAGGATGTTCTGTGGTTGCAGGAGTGCAAGATGCCACAGCATCCCACCCTGGCCGGTTTGGCTCAGGGTTAGAGCGTCAGCCCATGGATCAATGAGTCACAGGTTCGATTCCGGTCAAGGGCATGTACCTGGGTTGCGGTTTGTTCTTGGTTCTGGTCTGGGTCATGCGGGAGGCAGCCATTTGATGTGTCCCTCTCACATCGCTGTTTTTCTCTCTCCCTCCCACTCTATCTGAAGAAAAATGGAAAAATATCCTTGGATGAGGATAAAAAAAAGACACAAGATGTGACAGCATCCCGGTTTGCTTTCAGAAAACTGCCTTATTCCCACTGTGTGACGTCTTCATCAGGAGTATCTTCCTCCCAAAAACGAAGCCAAAATGACCAAGTCTTCCAGCCCCTTCCTGTGGAACCACGAGTCAGGATCCTAGGATCCGCTGACTGGATGCTCTCTCCAGGGGCTGGAACCCTACAGCAAGATCCTAAGAAACACAGGTCCTCATGTACAGTGCGCTGTACCAGTGACAGACGCTGGCATGCTAACCACAAGGTCCTCATGTACAGTGCGCTGTACCAGTGACAGACGCTGGCATGCTAACCACAAGGTCCTCATGTACAGTGCGCTGTACCAGTGACAGACGCTGGCACGCTAACTACAAGGTCCTCATGTACAGTGCTCTGGGAACTGGCAGTAGGGCTGGGACACGATGCGGGCGGGGCGGGGCGGGGCAGCACAGCCAGCAGGGGCTCCCTATAACTAGTAACCAGCACAGGACTCCACACCTCAAAACACATGGCCGGGAATCACACACCCGACTGCACATTTTGACGTTTGTGGTTGAAGATACTAATGAACAACTTTCATTTGTTAGGTCAAAGAACAAAGAGAACCAATTTAGAAGTAAAAATTTTTAATAAATATTATGACAAGAAATGTCCTTGTTGCTAGAAATATGTAGAAAAATTATGAATTAGGTTCAAAGAAAGCTTCCAGAATCAGTTTAACTCAACTTCCACACCCAAGATTAGAGCTGCCAGTCACCCCTCTAACCAGTGCCCTGGAAACCCACCCACATTGGCCACGGTGCCATGGCCACGGTGCCATGGCCACGGGAGGAAGGAGAGCCTCCCTAAATACCTAATTGCAGAGAAATTATAAATGTAATAAATTTTAATTAAAACTAACACTGATAACAGCTTGTTGTTTGGAATGCTTGTTTAAAAATAATATGCTGGGGGGGAAACAAAATATAAAAAGTATTTTAATTCAAAATAATTTCTCACTTTTACAAAACAAAAATGGTCTATTATTATGTGGTTCCTAAAAATGTTTTAAACAGTTCTTTACTTTCTCAAACAGTATTATAGTCAGTAAATAAGACAGAGCTAGACTACTTAACACTGTGACACAAAGAAAAACCGTACAAGATTTAAGGCCCAAATTGCATAATCTTCATAAGCAACCACTTATATTAAAAAATATATGTGTATCAATGCAGAATAATCTAGTCTATTTTAAACTTTTTTAAAAAATGGAAGAAAATTGGGCTTTTGGTAGGATCATTTTATGAGACATTTCAAACAGCGCCCAGTTCAGTACCGGAGCGGACGAGGGTGCAGGTGTGCGTGCCGGGGAGCGGGGTGGGGAGCGGGGGGCTGCAGATGCAGGATTCCAACGACCCGATTCTCCAACATCGCTTTGTTGTTGTTGCTGGTTTTAATTTTTATTTAAAGCTATACACTGTCTTGATTTAAGAGTGAAGTAGCGCCCTGGCTGGTTTGGCTCAGTGGTTGGAGCGCCGGCCTATGGACCAGAGTCCCGGGTTCAGTTCCCGCCAGGGGCACGTACCAGAGAAAAAAAACAACAACAACAAAAAAAAAAACAGTGAAGTAGCTCTACAAGACTAGTTTTGAAAAATAGCGATCCATCCTGTCCCCATTTTCCCAGGTGCCCTCCCCACAGCAATGACTCTTTCGGAATTCACCTCTGTATCTTTATAAGCCCTTGTTGCCATTTCTTTCTTTTGTAATTTTAGGCATGATTGATTTTCCACTACAGAGCACAGAACTGTCCACCTTTCTAACCTTCTCACCCCTAACTTCTTCCTGCCAACATGTTCTCAAAAGGCCTATCACCCATGTTTGGCTTGATCATATAGTCAAGGCCAACAACCTACCTACGTGAACACTGGTCACAGACCGTTCCTTCCCAAGGACATTTAAAATCGCTTTGTTTTTCCATTTGCTTGCTTCTTTGTCACAACCACCTCAAACTCTTTGCCAGCTGTGAAAATCTCTCCATACATCCTGATGCATCAGGTGATCTACAAAGGTCATCGTCAAAGGCTTCTGCCCCAGCCAGTCTGGGCTCCGCAGGAAGCCAGGAGAGTGTAGCCACCAGGAGAGAACGCAGCTCGCACTCCGCGGGGGCCCTGGGCTGACCCCTCCCTGGGCTCCGGGGCAGCTTCTCCGGAAAAGGAAGCCCACTCGAGACAAAGAGCAAGTGCACTGTGCTGGGTTCACGCTACTCTCACTGCCACACAAGGTCGTTCTCTGAAAACAAGCCCAAGGGCAACTGCAGAAGTCTAACAACTAAAGAAGACGGCCCAAAGCTGCAGGAGAAACCCAGACAAGCTTCCCACAGGTTTCTGCACAGGCAGAGTCCACGTCCTCCTCACAAATGTCCCCTGCGCTGACACAAGCGACTGTGAGCAAGAGCAGTCACAATGGTGATGAACACCTTAGTCATTTTTAACAGAGCAAGTCATTCCCCTGTACATAAGGGATACGCTCCCTTTGCAGCACCCCCTTCCCAGTGCAGGCTGGAAGGGTAATGTGAGTTGACACCATAGAGCTCTCTACTTGCTCAGATGTTCCTGCCTCTACTGAGAAGCTTTCTGTTTTCTTCTCTGTTACGGTCTGCGATTCCCCAAATTGCAATACTACTATTGTTTCTAAATTATAATCATAAACTTTTAAAAAACTAGTAACTACTAGTAACATAAAAATCCATTTTTCTATCTTATATTTAACATGGCTATGACATGACAATTTTAATTTTTTTTTTAAATGAGTCTTTTGCCCTGGCCAGTGTGGCTCAGTTGGTTGAGCATCATCCCGTGCACCGAAAGGTTACCAGTTCAATTCCCATTCAGGGCACATGTCCAGGAGGTGGGTTCGGTCCTTGGTTGGGATGCATATGGGAGGCAACTGATCGATATTTCTCTCTCACATCAATGTTTCCCCCACCCAACCCTTCCTCTCTCATAAATCATTTTCTTTTAAAAATGAGTCTCTTGATTTAGTCAGGACCTCAAGGGCATAAAGGATTAGCCACTGTCATACTCAAAATGATGCATTTATTCAAGGCAAATCTTAATTTCCTTTGTCTTCTTCAGAAGAAAGAGCTGCAAGAATACCAAGATGACGAAGTAATGTCGATCTAAAGCACCTTTACTGGAACTTGATTCCTTGGGCCAGAGGAAGGTCCTTACTGTAGTTGATGGTACTAAGGAGGAAAAAAAAGCAAACACAATTAAATGAAAGATAGTATATACATAATATAGACTATTTCTGTCTTTAAAAATGTAGCAGATCTGTATATGTTAACAATGTGAAATGTCCAAGTTACAAGTTGGTGAAGAAAAAAACCAGGATACAAAACAATACTAGGCACGGATCCAGTTTCATAAAGAAAGAAAAGGAGAAACAGAAAAGTCTGGAAAGACACACAACATACATGCTATTCCTAGTTTTCAGGGCACAGGAATATGGGGACTGTAACAATCTTCTTCATCTCTCTTAATAACTTGTACTGAATTAGCAGATATTCCCATTATGATTTTAAAAAATAAGAACTATAACACTGGAGAAAAGAAAAGCTTCCCCGTTAGTCAGTGGTGATCATCTCATTTCTCCTGAGAGGAAAAGTGTCCCATGAAATGGCCATATTAAAAGTGTCCCAAAAGGCCACAGCTAAATGTTTTCCACTCTAGGTCTCCAGTGCACAAGGGAAGTAAAAGGAACACAGTGACTTCAAAGAACGGGAATCAGGTGAACAGTGCGTGTGTCTGAGACTTAGCGAGCCACAGCCAAAAACACCTCCGAAATCCCTGACGGGTGTAAGTCTCTAAGGCTGCAAAGAGCTGAGGCTGAGAAACCCAGCTAAGGTCGCAGAACTAGTGAGCAGCACAGAATGGGACGAGGATGGGTGTCCGGGGTCCCTCCCTCACCTTGGGTTCTTTCTACAATGTAATACACGAGCCTGACCCCACATACTTTGTATGGCACTTGGGTAAAGCTAGTTCTACCCAAGAGGGAGGAAAAACAGAATACATTTAAAAGAAAAAACTAGCCAAAATCTCCCAGAAGCCAGCGCCCTCGCCAGCTCCCGACGCCGGGTGAATGAACGAATCCCACTCTCAAGGGCCACGCTCACTACTCTGAGAGCTGGGATCTCCCAGCTTGCTGGCCTGGCCCCGGCCCCTGCCCGCCTCCTCTCCTCTGCTTCTCCAGTCCCCCAGGACGGTAACTACGCCCCAGGAGGAAACCCGAAAAGGACAGCTTCTTCCACTTTCCCCTGGTGGCAGACACCTCCCCCAGGTGTCCTGTTCCGCCGCTGTCTCCAGACAGAAACCACCACGGAGATGGTTTCAGTCGGGTGCTGGGCACTAGCTGAAGCTGGACAAGAAGGGTAGAAAAACAATAGTGCAAAGTGGATGCTCTGGGAGCGGAGAGCTCGGAACATCAGGAAAACAAGACGAAAGAGAAATGCATAAAGACAGAGCAGAGAGCGGGAGGGTGTACCAGCACGCCGCCACGGCGTCCAGCCCGAGCCCGCCTCCCCAAGCCCTTCTCACCAAGTGGACCTCCTCATGTACTGCTTCCAGGCATCGCTGCCGGACTCCCGGCCGCCGCCAGTGTGCTTTTCTCCCCCTGGAAGAGAACACAGGCGGCTCACCCGTCGGGGCCGGGCTGCTCCCTCGGTGTGCGCCTCTCGGCATCACCGAGGGAAGAGACCGAAAGGACACCAGAGCCACCTGAGCGGTCCCGTACACTTACCCACCGCTTCCTCCGCACACAACTAAATAAGAGAGACCAAATAACCATGAAAATCAGAGGGAAAGTAAAAGGAATTAAGAGGAAACAAAAATGTGTCCGGCAGCCCAATAAAACCTTAAAAAAAAAAAATTAAAAAAAAACCTTACAATTAGACTAAGGTGTTAAGAATAGAACTTCTGGACAGTGAAAATGTTTTTATTTTCTCATTTATGCTTGTCTGTATGTAATTTTCTATAATGCACACGAACTGCTTTTAAAATAAAACATTTTAAATGTTAAATTAACATCCTTAGAGAGGTTATAAGGAGATAATATTCCATGGAAACAAGAAAAGGATACTATTTAAAAGTGTGCCATCAAAGCACAAGAAATGTCTTGGTGTTGCTTTTAATATTTGCAGAGAAGAAAAAACTTAATAGAAGGATTAGAAGCAAAACGTAAGGAAATTTCCCATATAAACAACAAAAAGACTGCCTTGGACGGTTTGGCTCAGCAGTTAGAGCATCGGCTGCCGACCAGAGAGTCCCAAGCTCGGTTCCTACTAAGGGCATGTACCTGGGTTGCAGTTTGTTCTTGGCCCCGGTTGGGGCACATGCCTGGGTTATGGTCTCGATCCCCAGCAGGCAAAGGCAGCTGCTTAGTGTTTCTCATGAGATTAGTATTTCGTTTCTTGGTCAAACTTTTCTAAAAGCTGCTATTGCTTTTCCTTTACTGCCTGTTATGAACAGAATTGTCTCCCCCTCCGGGCGCCCCCACCCCAAGAATATGTTGAAGCCCTAACCTCCAATAACTCTGAATGTGTCTGTATTTGGCAATAGGGTCCTTAAGTAGGTAATTAAGGTTAAGTGAAGTCATAAAGTTAGGGCCCTAAGCCAGGAGGACTGGTGACTTTATAAGGAAGAGATGCCAGGGATGAGCATACAGAATAAAAGGCCCCTTGAGGACACAGGAGAGAGGTGGCTGACCACAAGCCAGGAAGAGAGGCCGCAGGAGAAATGCAACCTGCCAACACCTTGATCTTAGACCTCCAGCCTCCAGAACTGTGAGAAAATTGATGTCTGTTGTTGAAGCCACCCGATCTGTGGTATTCCGTTACGACCGCAGACTAACACACTGGGCCAACATGGGAGAGGAGAAACAATCCTCTACGTACCAAAGGCACCTCCAATCTCAGCACCGCTTGTTGGAATATTGACGTTTACAATGCCGCAGTCTGATCCTTTTGGTCTGTGTGCAAAAAGGGAGGCATGGTGAGAGCAATGTATAGGGAAGTACAAAACCAAACCAACAAAAAGTCCAAACAAAACTCTAAGCCCCAGTGCCAAAAAGTGGATTTTCAGCTATGATGGTTTTGTTTTCTTTTTTTAAAGTCCATCACCACACAAATCAGAGTTACAGAGGTTTTTTAAATAAACAAAGTTATACCCAAGCCAGCGGAAGATTCTGCCCAAATCCTTGGTAAAGATGCTACTTGAAAGTCCCTGTTTTACTTCATTATTCCACGTAAAGACTTCGTCTTCATTCTAAAAGGATAGATGTGAGCTGTTAGATGATACAGGATTCAGGTCAAAGTTACTAATGTTAAACTCATTTCATGAGATATGCCAGAATAATTTTAGTGCAAAAAAAGGAAACAACAAGTCAACATCAGACTCATTCTGTTTCTCTTGCACAGCCTTTGTGGGGTTTTCTCCCGAACTACTTTAAGAAACAAAGATCTTTCTACCATTCTTCCACTTAAGCTATTCCATATAATAGCTAATATTTATTGAGCTCTTTATGTGCAACATACTGACCTAAGCACTTAGCACATATTTAGTTAGGCAATCCTCACCCTATGACATAGGTTTTCTATTAACCCAATTTACAGATTAGGCGGAGAAGGCCCAGAGAGGCTAAGTTATTTGCTCAAAAGCTCACAGTCACACACATACACACACGACAAAACATGAAATTATACCCTCTAGTCACCACAGGTGGGACAATAATAGACAATTTAAAGCAAGATTTTAAAGAATGCAATCAGGTAGCCCTGCTGGTGTGGCTCAGTGGATTGAGCATCATTCCATGGACTGAGGGGTCCCGGGTCAGGGCACATGCCCAGGTTTTGGGCTCAATCCCCAGTAGGGGGTGTGCAGGAGGCAGCCAATCAATGTTTTTCTCTCCCACAGATGTTGCTATCTCTCTCTCCCTTCCTCTTTATCTAAAAAATCAATATAAACATTTTTTTAAATAAAATCATGTAATTGCAGCAAGGTGCAATTCTCATTATTCTTCAACTGTTAATCATGGCACATTCAAACCTTGATTCAATCTCTAAGTATTTGCTGGCATGGGTAGGCCCTGTCCCATGCTGGGGAAGGAGAACTTCTAGTTTTCTTTATCTGTTAAAACCTCTACAGCCTATCCTCGGGTACAGATTGTAACTGTACATCTTTAGGTTGTCCTATATATTCTCACTTTGTCTGCTGACACTTATTTCTCAGACTATCAAACTATCTAGTCCTTCTGCATAGAAGCCAAATGTTTGGCCCACGTGGCTCAGAATCAGTTGATACAGGAAGTGGGAGCCACAGTCTCCATAAAATGCAGGCTAGGTTCTCTGCTGGTATTGGTTTCCCTGGCAGCCTGACATGCTCTATAGCTTGAAGTGTTCATCCCATCATATTTTATCCATAATCGTCAAATTTATACCAATCAGAATGATTTTCTAACACCTCCCTAAAGGCAAATGAAATGAAATTTAGCACGTCTTCATTTTCTCCTAGTCTTCTCCTGATGTTTGTTTCAACATTAGACGAGAGAAAAGGGACAGAACCCATTGTTACCTTGAATTTAAAGACATAAAGAATCGGAGCAAAAGTCTCTGTGTGTGCAATGGACGCGTTGTGGGCAAGACCTGTCACAATCGTTGGTTCCACGTAATTCCCAGGGCGGTCCATGACCTTCAGCAGAGAAATGAAAGAAAACAATGAAAGCACTTTGTTTTCTAGTCCTGGTGGTCAGAGGACACGATCTTTGCTTATACTTATGAGGGGGAAAAAAACCCACCATTTTAGATGAATTATTTCAACTCCCCATCATGAATGAAAATTTTCTCCGTCTCCTATTGGCTTTAACTTGGTCAGAGAAAAATAGGGAAAAAAGAACCATGGATAGAGAGCTGTGTCATGTCACAAAGTTGTATTAAAAAACAAAAAAAACAACAACAAAAAAACCCCAGCCCTGGCCAGTTTGGCTCAGCAGTTGCAGCAGTTCTCAACCTGTGGGTCGCGACCCTTTGGGGGTTGAACAACCCTTTCACAGGGGTTGCCTAAGACCATCGGAAAACACATATTTCCGATGCTGATTCATAACAATAGCAAAATTACAGTTATGAAGTAGCAACAAAAATAACTTTATGGTTGGGGGTCATCACAACATGAGGAACTATATTAAAGGGTTGTGGCACTAGGAAGGCTGAGAATCACTGGGAGCATCAGCCCGCGGATCAGAGAGACCCGGCTTCAGTTCCTGCTAAGGGCATGTACCTCGGTTGCAGTTTGTCCCCAGCCCTGGTTGGGGTCGTGTGGGTGGCAACGGGCAGGTGGCTGTGAAATCCGCCCCCAGACTCAGGGCTGCCTGTTTACTAAGAGTCAACTGGATTCGCTCCCAACCCGGGGCAGGGCAGCTGTCTCTGTTCCTCTAGTGCTATATTGCGTAACTTAAATAAATATTACACAAAGGGAAAAACAGCTATTTCTATAAAAATTAACTTGAATGTTTCAGGAAAAAAACTCAACAAAAGTAACAAAAAAATACATAATTTCATACACTGCTGTCCGATGAGATACGGGTGTGTCAGGGGTAAGATGACTAGGGAGGAGCCTCCTCTCAGGCAGCTTTGCAAGAGACTCAGTTCTCAGTGAATTTTAAAGACAATGAAACTAAATTGTAGATAATAAATTATTGGTATAGCTTATGCAAGGATGAAGACAAATTCCTCTCACACATGAAGAAAATGCTTTGACTGTATCTAAAGACTCAATCAAATATAGTTATATGTGTTAAATCAAAATGTTTTTGTTGTGTAGCCCTGGCTGGTTTGGCTCAGTGGTTAGAGGGTCAGCCTGAGAACCAAAGGGTTGCACATTCGATCCCCCACCCTAGTCGGGGCTGTGCAGGAGGCGACTAATTGATGTGTCTTTCTCACATCAATGTTTCTTTCTCTCTCTCTCTCTCCTCTCTCCCTGCCTCCCTTCAACTCTATCTTAAAAAAAAAAAAAAATTCGCCCTCGCTGGTTTGGCTCAGCGGTTAGAGTGTTGGTCTGTGGTCCAGAGAGACCTGGGTTCGGTTCCCACTAAGAGTATGTACCTCAGTTGCAGCTTGTCCCCGGCCCTGGTTGGGTCGTGCGGGTGGCAACCACTTGATGTGTCCCTTTCACATCGATGTTTCTCTCTCTCTCTCTCTCCCTTCCACTCTATCTGAACAAAAAATGGAAAAATATCCTCAAGTGAGGATAAAAAAAAAAATTCAATGGAAAAATATCCTCAAGTGAGGACTAAACAAATAATAAAAAGGAAATGTTTTTGGTGGTGTTTTTTTTTATTCCCTGTCTTACTTGACCTTTTACAATCACCATTAAGCCCTGGCTGGTGCAGCTCAGCTGGTTGAGCACTGTCCCATGCACTGGGAGGTCACCAGTTGATTACCAGTGAGGGCACGTGCCAGGGTTGTGGGCTCCATCCCCAGTAGGGGGCGTGCAGGATGCAGCAGGTTGATGTTTCTCTCTTTCCCTCTCCTTTCCTCTCTCTCTAAAAAATCAATAAAAACACATTATTTTTTTAAAAATAGGATAACCTCTTCAAAAAGTAATAAAATAGTCAATAAATACGAATTCTAATTACTCTGAAAAAGTCTCCCTCCGTACAAATGCCTAGAGACTCAATTCAAAGGCAACCATGGCTCTGAGATTCTTGTGTGTCCTTCCAGAAACGTTCCATTCAGTTTATGTTGTCGTTCTTTAAAACACCTACTCTGCCCCCTACAAAAGGGAGAAGATAAACAGCAGTTGGGGACCCTTCACCAGCGTGCCCAGAGCCTTGCCTTACCCAGGGGAAAGGAAGTGAAATCTGTCACCACGGAGCTCCGGGCTCTCCTTACCTTGCCGCCATAGACCACGGTGCCTCCTTCTTTCTTCGCTGCCTCCACCGCTCCGAGAAACATGCTCACTGCCTGTTTGGTGTGCAGTGGCCCGTACAGAACATTAGCTGGCGAGAAAAAGAAATGTTCTTCAGTTTACCCTAAATGGCATTGTTTTATTATTTTAACAGCTTTCCCAAGGAACAGACCAATCCCTTTGTATAGCCTCTCAGTTTAGAACAGCGTTTTCAACCTTTCTCTGTAAAGGCCAGACAGGAAATATTTAATGTTTTGCATGACATCCGCAGTCTCCACGTGTGAAAGCAGCCACAAAAGACACATACGCGAGTGGGTGGGGCCGTGCCCTGAGAAGCTTTCTTTACAGAAACAAGTGTCAGGCCAGCTCTGTTTGTCAACCCCTGGTTCAGATCAGTTCATCAGAGAGCATCTGTTTATTCACTGCAGCGGGACCGCTCTCCAAGAACTTCACGGGCTCAGGAGCTCACACGCAACTCCGGGGGGTTGACGCCGCCCTACGTGTGGCTGCGGGAGAGCGGAGCACGAGAGGTGGCCCTGGGCAGCAGGAAGAAGACTTAGCCAGGCCTCAGGGAGGAGGGGGCCCGGTAGCAGAAGGCCAGCTGTGGGAAGAGCTGGGCGAAGAGCATTTCCTGCAGGGAGAGCAGCAGGATGGAGCCTGGACCCCTGCCGCTGAAAGGAGGTTGGAGAAGCCGGAGCTCTGGGGGCACAGGGTACAGAGGGCAGGTGGCAGAGGTCAGATCACACAGACTGTGAGCCTGCTAAAGAGGGAGAAGGGCTCGGCCGGTGTAGCTCAGTGGACTGAGTGCCATCCCATGGACTGAGAAGTCCTGGTTCGATTCTCGGTCGGGGCACATGCCGGGGTTGCGAGTTTGATCCCCAGCAGAGGGCGTGCAGGAGGCAGCCAACTGATGCTTCTCACACTGATGCTTCTCTCTCCCTTCCTCTCTCTGAAAAATCAATAAAAACATATTAAAAAAAAAAAAGGGAGTAGGAAAAAAATATCTAGGTTTTAGTCAAAGAGCAAAGAAAAGTTACTGGAATATTTAAAGTAGGAGAGTGAATTATCTAATCTAATCTAATCACATTTAAAAAAATCACTCTGGTCACTGTGAAGGCAGAAGTAAAAGCAATAAAGTAAGTCTAGTGACTCTTGCCGCCTCCCATGAGAGAGGGGGTGGCTTAGATGAGGGTAGTAGCAGTGAAGAGAAAAGTTCATCAAACTCATCCCATTGGAACACCATCCCCCAGGCCACCCCACCCCACATCAAACACTCAGAATCCTAACGTAGGAGCAGACGCATCAGGCTAAATGCCCCACAACCTGCTGTATATGCTCTTAGTCCTCTCAGGAAGGGGCGGGGGTGGGGGGGGCATCAGTAACACTTGTAACACTAGCTGTCCAAAGGAACACCTCTGAAACCAACCAGATACTCACAGTCCCATGGGTTCCCGACCCGGATCTGTGCATAGGCCTTTTTAAGCCTATTTACAACTTCATCATGGACGCTTTCATGCAAAAACTAAGTAATAAAAGAAATATGCAAGGGAATCGTCAAATAACTGTACAAATTTGTTAACAATGCACAACTTTTCTTAATATCGCTGATTTATAGTTCCTAATAAATTTTGAAAATCTGTGATCTCTAAAAGCATATGCAAATAGAAGTATGTTTATTTTTGTAATTATATAATTTCTAATTTTAATGTTAACTACATGAAGATACTAATTTCCTCTAGGTGGCTGTTAGAATGAAATCATAAGACAAATCTTTGTCAAGTCTCTAAGGACCTATCTGACGAAGCTTTACAAATCAGTTAGACCTGTTTCTGTTCTAGAGCATCAGACATCTTAAGAAGCAGAAAACCTCCAGTAGCCCTGCCTGCACTCTGCCTGTGAGTCACGGTGAATACACACCACAGCCATCTGCCAGCCAACCTCTGCCGTGTAGCCACATGCTCTGAAGCTCAGGCCGAGAACGCCAAGGAGGCCCCACAGGTGAGGACATGCCCTGGACTCACTCTGGGTAGGATGTGAGCTCCATGCTATGATCCCAGCGGTGCAGGTGAACTTGTCAAGCCACCATCCCCTGTGGTCTCCATGTGGCAAATGCACTGACATTAGAGAACTAGTTTTGGAGAGGTCTATAGTACTGCGATGGATTTTTCTACATATCACTTAACTGTTTCCATGCAAATCGATTTGGGCGATAACTAATAATATCCTCTGATTTTTAACACTAAACATAAAGCATGGATATGGATATTTGCTCTAAGACACAAAGAAAAAGTAAAAATTGGCTGAATAGATAAATCTTCTTTAATGTCATTTCCTACTTTGCTATGTAATTAACATTATAATCTTTTTAAAGAACCCATTTTCTTACTGGTATCCATGAAATAAATGTTTAAGGTGAATAAATTTAATAAATTATAAGTACTTTATGAATATTGTATGTTGGCTTTGTTTTTGTTTTTTGAGAACTTCAACTGAGTAATGTAAAAACAAAGGAAAGATATTCTTTTGTTGTAAAATACAGGAAAAAATAAATATAAAGTGTTATGGGGAAAGTAAAGACTTAATCTTCATAAATCTTTCATATTTTTATTCATTTAGACTGTCAACCTCATGAAGTATTTGTTCATACTCACTGTGGGTGAAAGTAAAAACCCAAAGCCAATTCCTTTGTAATTCAACTATAAACTGTTTTGTTGTTTTTATTCCAGAAGGAGACTCAACAGTATTCATTTAAAAATGGTCGATATAGTAGTTCAGCCGGTGTGGCTCAGTGGTTGAGCATCGACCCATGCACCAAGAGGTCACCGGTTCGTGACCTGGTCAGGGCACATGCCCAGATTGTGGATCCGATCCCCAGTGGGGAGCATGCAGGAGGTGGCTGGTTGATGTTCTCTCTCATCAGTATTTCTCTCTCTCCTTCTCCCTTCCTCTCTCTCTAAAATCAATAAAAAAATAAATAAAACATTCTAAAAAAAAGGATCCAGAGATAGTAAAAAGATTAGTTTAAATAGGTAAATAAAAAAAATTTTTTTTTAAATTAAAAAAGAATAAAGAAATAAATTAAAATGGTAGATGTAGCCAAATGTTGTGCCTAAGCAAACTTGTCTGGCCATAGTACACACAGGTTTTGACCATGAGAGTCATGAAAACCAAGATTGTATCTGACATAAAACTGAAAACCAGCCCAAATCTAAGTACAGAGATTAACATCCCAAACTCTATCCGTGCTGAAGCTAGACCACATCTCCTTATATGCACTCTATATTGATGTCTTATTTATGTATTTATAAACAGAGAAAACAGAGTCATTTGCTTTTCAATAAACCACATCACATCAAGTCCAATCTGAGACTTTATTCATAGGCCAAAAATTAAAATCTTTAATGTTCTTATAAATAAGAGCCAAGGCTGTCTATATCTCAGCTAACAGTTTTAGAATTTTTCAAATATTTAGCTTTTTTGTTGTAAGTCTCTAAGTGACACTGAACTTTGTCCATATTGTTCTGGGCGTGGGACTGAAAACAGTCTCATCTCCCAGTCCACGTCCAGCTAATTAGAGTGAGGCCACTGTTAACTTGGGGTGGAGGGTAAGAGTCCTTGGCTGACTGGCAACATCTGCCATGAGCTGAGAAGACAGAATAAGGCCACGTATTAGCTAACCCCATCTAGGAAGTACATGTTTCTAACAGTGCTTCTACACCTAACAGCACAATTCGTTAAAAAGTGGTATTTGAAGAGCAGGACAAACTCCCGTGTCCACACAGACACACTCACCAGGCGCCTCGCAGTGGTACACCTCTGGCCGGCTGTCCCCACGGCGGCAAAGAGAGCTGATGGAACGACTAAGCTGAGGTCCGCATCCTCAAACGCTTAGAGAAGCACACACACGCGTCAGTGTCGTGAGCAGGCAGACAAGGTACTTGCTAACTGGTATAAAGTGATCCTTGATTACTTGCACTAAAAGATCAGAACGATCCCCGGGAAATAAGTGGGTTCACATGGCAGAGGCCACTTTTCTTCCAGAGAAGATTATATGAGAATAGTGTGATGAGCCCTATGGTCTTTTTTAAAATATTTTATTTATTTATTTATTTATTTATTTATTATTCTGCTGTTTTGAAAATTTATTTTTGTTACAGATGTTTTTCCTCTCGAGCCCTGTGGTCTTTACCAACCAAGTACAGATGTGCACGGAGGCTCTCACCCTCTGACCGCTTCATCTTTCATTTCTCCAAGTTTCTGATACTAAGCCTGCTCTGTAGCCCCTGTGGTCTCTTCTCTGAGACCACCATCCTTTCTGTCACTTTACTAGCCTCCAATCTCAACCCCACAGCCCACTGTGAGGCCAGCTCCCCTGGGCCCACGGAGCGAGCGACGGGAAGGTCCTGGTTAGCACCGCCACCCGACGGCTCTGTGACGTCTACACCCTCACCTGCACGGTCCGCGCCCTCGAATACCTCTTCTTGCTCCTCTACGGAAGCATTTCCAAATCTCTGAAACCTCTCAAGCCCTTGACTCCTTCACCAGATTACCTTACCCCACTTAGTAAAAAAAATTCAAAGTGATCACACACAGAAGGCCCTTTCCTGCTTCCCTGGCTGCTCTGGAGATCAATGCAAAGTCATTCGCGTTCCTCTACTTCTGTCCCTTCCCCTCTGTCGCCCTCAGAAGGAAAGACGAGCATAGTCTTTAGAGTTAGCCCTTCCACGTATATTACTTGTGACTCCTTCCTTCTCATCCCTTAGAGAAACTTACAGACACGACTCCCTCTTCCACCCTCAGCTGTCCCTTTCCAGACCCACAGACCACTGTGTCCTGTCTCAGACGAGCTTGATGGTGGAGGGGGCGGTTTGTGCGGCCAAACCGACCAGGGTTCCTGTCCATTTCCACCACTTTTTAGTTGTGTTACTTTACCTTTGTAAGCCTCAACTTCCTCATCCACAAAATGGAATAACAATGTCTGAGGTACTAATGGGTGACAGGAAGGAGTTAAGGAAAGAGCGTTGCTCTGGGGTCTGGTTCTGTCACCTGCTGGCCTGTCACTATGGCACATGATCACTTGAAGTCTCCGAGTGTAACCTTCAGATGAGCTTGATGGGGGTATCTGCCTTGTGGGGTTACGGTGGGGATTAAATGAAACAGCTGAGCCGAGTACCCAGCACATATCCAGTGCTCACTAAGTGCTCACTATATTTTACATGAACTCTGTCTTTAACTCCATTAGAAGTTCATCTCGAACAAACCCTTCACCATTGACTTTTTAAACTTCTGGTGTATACCACAAATATACAGGCATTTAAACATGATGATGATGATGGCAAAATACAAATTAGCAAGTTTTGCTTTTTATCACAAAATCCATGCTCTTATTGTCTTAACCTATTGATATTCATTATATGATCCAGTTACACTGGTAGACTATTTCCTTCTGTGCCAAATAACTGAGAAACAGAATTAAGCGATGCCGAAGTCTAGAGGTCAGTGATTAAAATGCTTTAAGGAAGCATTTCTTCTCAGTTATAAAAGCACTAAATATTCCACAAAAGACGAACTTAGGTCTTTTTAAAATCTAATGTAATCAACAATTCACCTAAGAGTTACTTCTTCTGCAGACATGCGTGGCCAGTTTTCAGAAAAGAGAAGGAAAAAGAACAAACAATGTAGCACTGGGAACTCTCATACACAGGTTCTAAGGCCAGGTTACATTTTCCAAACATGAACACCCTCCATTCCTCGTTATTTCTGCCTGCAGACCACTGTGTCCTGTCTCATAAGTAAAATCCACACACATGTGAAGTAGGCCTTAGGCACGTCCGGCACAGAACAGACAAGTTCCTACACAAGTTCTATATATTCAGGACAGCTACTGAAGATATTCTAAATGGAAAACAAAACAAAAACAAAGGGCATTCTTACCAATAATGGCATTATTTCCTCCAAGTTCTAACAAACTTCTCCCTTTAAAAACATATAAACACACATTAATGTCTATTTTAGTATTTAATGAACACAGATGGCCTCGAATCATAACTCATCCCAATTAGATTTTAATTTATTTTCTAATGTGAAACAGAGCAGGAGCATTGAATCAATGTCAAATTTCCTGGTTTTAATAACTGTACTGTGATTGTGACAGAACGTACTTGCTCTTAGGCAGTACACCGAAATATCTAATGGTAAAGGAACACAAGGTCTTCATCTTTCTGCAAGTGGTTCAAAAATAACATGCAACCACAATATACGTGAGTGTGTGTGTGTGACTGAGAGAGAGAAAATGATAAAGCAAATGGGGCAAAATGTAAGCGATTGGTGAATCTGGTTAAGGGTACACAGAAATTACTTGTGTCTCTTATAACTTTTTCTCTAAGTCTGACGTTATGTCCAAAAAAAAAACTCCCAGTTATGTAAATGGTACAGCCACTATGGAAAACTATCGGGCAATTTCCCAAGAAATTAAACACAGAATTGCCATATGATTGACCTAGCAATTCAGCTTCTGGGTACACAGCCAAAGCAATGAAAGCAGGGACTCGAACAGAGGTCTGTGCACCCATGTTCACGGCAGCATTTTCACGGAAGCTACACGGTAGAGGCAACCAAGTGTCCACTGAAGTGTGGATCAAAATGTATTTCATAGTATGTATATATAAAATGAAATAGCCTGGCCAGAGTGGCTCAGTGGTTGAGCATCAACCCATGCACCAAAAAGGATCCCAGTTCAATTCCCAGTCAGGGCACACGCCCCGGTGGTCTCGATTCCCAGCAGGGGGCACACAAGAGCCGGCGATTGATGTTGATGTCTCTCTCCCATCAGTGTTTCTCTCTCTCCCCCTTACTCTCGCTCTAAAATCAATTAAAAATGCTTAAAATTTTTAAAAAATAAAATGCTATTTAACCTTAAAAAGAATTGAAATTCTGACACATGCCACAACATGGATGAACCTTGAAGACATGATGTTAAGTAACATGAACCAGTCACAAAAGGACAAATATTGTGTGATTCCAGTCATACGAGCTTCCTAGAACAGTCAAATCCATAGAGACCGAAAGCAGAATAGTAATCGCCAAGGGGCTAGTAAAAGGCAGAAATGGAGAGTTTTAATGGGGACAGAGTTTCAGTTGGGAAGACAAAAAAAAATTCTGGAGTTGGATGGTGGTGATGGTTGCACAACAGTGTGATGTACTTAATGCCAGAGAACTGCACATCTAAAAATGGTTAAAATGGTTAATTTTTATATATTTTATCATGATAAAAAAACATTTTAAAGTTATGTGCTCGTTATAGAAAATTATTTTTCAAAAACAGTAAAATGTATCAAGCAAAAAGCTATGGCCCATAGGTCACCATGAACTCTATCCTTATACTTAGGTATAATGCCTTCCAATGTGTTTCCTATGCATGTATATTTAGTTGAGATCATACTAGCTAATTATCTTTGCTTTATTTTCTGATTAATCTTATACCTTCTCCTGAAGTTATTAGCAGCTGTTAAAATACACACACACACACACACATATATATATATATATATACACACATGTATATATATCACTGCATACTATCCATCATGCTAATGTACCAAATTTTGTCTACTGAGGTCAGGGCCAAGGGTATGAATGTTAGGGGCAACTATATATAGTATCAAGTTATAGTCCAGGTAATCACACAGCAGGGTATGAAGGCCATTCTGACCTTACACTCCCCAGCATAAAGATCTAAAAAGTATTTGCTTCAATTTTAGAGCTGTGTTTACCACATCTTTTGAACATACGTTTATTTTTCCATACATGTAAAATCAGCTTCTATGCAAACCACGTTTATTTGTGATATTGGAAGCATGTGTGACAGCAGGAGAGGAGATTCTCCCTTCCATGCTCTGAAACAGTCACACACGCAGCAATTGGATGTCAACCGTAAGGGGGAGGGCTGTTACTGCCAAGTCACTGAGCACTACGTCAGCTCTAGTGTCTGCTGCAGCAGTTGATTTAGAACATTTCTTTTTCTCTACTGGCTACAGCAGAGCACTACACTAGATAGCAAGAAAGGTGGAGGAAACAGGAGATTCTACACCTCACATCAGCAACTCCTGTCTGGCTTCACGTTCTGTGCAGAGAAGAGAAGGGACCTACACTGCCTACATCCTTCCAGTTCTCTATCTGCTCCCTAACCACAGTGCTAGAGCCAACCCCTTCCAAGAAAAGCACCTGTAACTTAAGATGACAGGCAGATACATTTATTATAATCCTATTAATAGTGCTACTGAAGAGAGAACAGCAAACTACTGCTTTGAATAAAAAGGGACGGGAGAAGAATAGGAAGTTTGCTAGTGGGAAGAGTGGAATTAATGACCTTGAGCACTTCTGCACATGCTTGATGCCCAGTTGCATATCTTCTTAGAAGTAGTATCTATTCAACCCCTGTGCCCATTTTTAATTGGGTTGTCTTTTACATTGTTGACTTGCTAAGAGTTCTTCATAATTTCTACATATAAATCCCTTATCGTAAGATTTGCAAATGTTTTCTTCCATCCTATAGTTGTCCTTTGAAACAAAAAACGTTTTCATTTTGATGAGCTCTAACTTATCATTTTTTTCTTTTGTTGCTTGTGCTTTAGGTGTCACAGCTAAGAAACCACCGCCTAGTCCAAGGTCACAAAAACGTATTCCCATGTTTTCTTCTAAGAGTTTTATAGTTCTAGCTTTTACATTTAGGTCTTTGATACATTTTGAGTTCGTTTCTGCATACTGGGTGAGGTAGGGGTCCAACTTCACACATATTTATGTGGATGTCTAGTTGTCCTAGCACCATTAATTGAAAAGACCATTCTTTTCCCATTGGAATATCTTGGCACCCTTGTCAAAATCAACTGGCCATAAAGGTAAGGGCTTATTTCTGAACTCTCAATCCTACCCCACTGATCTTTCTGTGTCCTTATGGCAGTACCACGTAGTCCTGATCACTGTAGTTTTGTAGTAAGTTTTGAAATCAGGAAGTACGAGTCCTGCAACTTCAGTTTTCTTTCCCTATTCAGGGTTCTTTGCATTTCCATACGATTTTAGAAAGTTAATTTCTACGGAAGCCAGCTGACATTCTGAAAGGGATTGCATTCTACCTGAAGGTCATTTGGGTAGCATTGATCTTGGGCAGTCACAATATTAAGTTTTCCAAAAAGTGAAAATGGAATGACTTTACTTTTATTTAGGTCTTTAATTTCTTTCAACGATGCTTTATAGCACTCTGTGTGAAAGACTTACACATCTTTTGTTGAACTTACTCCTAAGTATTTTATTCTTTTTGATGCTACACTATTAAATGGAGTTATTTTGTGGGTTTCATTTTTAGGTTGTTCATTGTTAATGTATAGACATGTAATTGATTTTTGTTTATGGATCTTATATCCTTGCTGACCTTGTTTATTAGCTCTAATAGTTTTTTATAAACTTGCTTTTTAAAAGCAATGCCCAAAATGCAAAAGGGCTGGCAAATTACCTAGTCAAGCCTTACCTTGCTAGTCTAAATTCACAATAAACATAAATGACAGTCAATATTATCCTTAAAAACCTCCTTAATCAAAGCTATGTTTATGTAAATGAAGGAACAGATTTAAATCTCCTCGTCCACATTCGCTGCGGTTCTGTATTCAGTGATCCTGTTTAAATTGTCTTCTTTTTTTAATTTGCCAAATAGATGTGACAGAATTTGATAAATATATTTAATATGACTTTATTATAGTCATTTAGAGAGAAAATGACATCCTTTTCCAAATTATGCTACTTAAATTTGTGACTGCCCTAATATTAACCCATTAATGTCTGTACCCTTTTCTTTTACTTGGACATTCAAATAAACATGGTTGGTCTCTCTATGGAAAGGACCAAGAATAAAAAAAAACTTTTAGATTTCACATCCGTACCTCTGAGGGAATTAAAATCCTCATTAGAAAGCCAGTACTTACCAAACCTCTCCTGTACCATAAGGGCCACCTGTTTCCCCACCTGAGTGCTCCCAGTGAAGGACAGCAGGTTCACTCGCTCATCTTTGGCCATTGCAGTGCTGCAGGGGAACAGAAAAGTCACTCAGAGAAACCCAGCAAGGGCGCCACCTAATGGTACTGGCCAGAAAATCCTGACATGGGCTCTTGGAAAGGTACAAGAGAGCCAGGGAAGGTCTTCATGAAAATGAACTAGGTTTTCACAAGTAGAACCATACAACTAAATAGGCTAACCTATTCTGTGAGCTCTCTATAAACAGAAATCACCCTGAAGACATTGTTAAGGAAGAAAGTCCTTCCTGTACTGAGTAGGTGACTGGACAATGTGACCTTAGCATCTCCTTGATGAGCATCCCACTTACTTTGCAGACTCTTAAACTACTAATTCCTTTAAGAATTAAAAATCTGGCCCGGCTGGTTGAGCATCGACCTATGCACCAAGAGGTCGCCGGTTCAATTCCCAGTCAGGGCACATGCCCAAGTTATGGGCCAAATCCCCAGTGGGGGACATGCAAGAGATGGCCAATCGATGTTCTCTTTCATTGATATTTCTCTCTCTCTCTCCCTAAAAGTCAATAAAGAAAAAAAAAAAAGAACTGAAAATCTAGACTGTAGGGAAACGTCCTAAGTATCTCTCATGAAGATGATTTATAAAGGCTTTGCTAGAATTCCCAGTTGCTTCTAAGCAATGTACACCAGACACTATTGATTTGAACCTTTCTGCTCAGTTTGGTGCTTCAAAGGGCTCAGTGTGAGCCAAGCAGGCAGCCACAGCATCAGTCTAATATAGAGCATGAACAGCTTGGTGAATTTACCCATGTAGGCCTCCCCAGGTTCAGCCCAGCAAACACAAGCACTGATACCCAAGACACTGTTCTGTAATGCAGACCTACACACTAATGCAATATCTTCAGCTACTCTAATGCCAAAGCCAAGGAATGGATGCCCAGAGGGCAAGAACAGAGTTGATCAGAGGATAGAATACTCATGTTTTAAATGACATTTAGATAATACACTATGCATATTTTTCACTTACTAAAAAAAAAAAAAAGGAGTAACCTATTGTTCATTTTTTAGATTGCCCAGTAAGTAGAATAGCAGGGTAAAAGTGATAGAGGGAGACTAACATTTTAACCACACCGTAAGGGTTATAAGACCCCTATGAAACCTCTCCTAATCAAAGGCTAAGCTGATAATAACACCTTTCATCACGGTTCTGAGCAATTATAGAGTCATTTCCAGCTTAAAGAGGCTGTGACATTACACTAAGTGAAAGAAGCCAGAAATGAAGGCCACATGCTGCATGATTCAATTTTATGAAATGTCCCAAATAGACAAATTCATGGAAACAGAAGTAGTTTAGTGATTGCTAGGGGAAGGTGGAATGGAAAGTGACTGCTAATAGTCACAAAGTTTCTTTTGAAACCCTCCCCCCCAAATGTTTTGGAATAAGATAATGGTGATGGTTGTACAACACTGTAAATATTCTAAAAACCACTGAATTGTACATTTTTACAGAAAGAATTATATGTGAATTATATGGCAATTTTTAACAAACGATACATTTAAATAAAGAAGCTGTACTTGCAGGGTTCCCCGTTTTGGTCAGCTGAAGAACCCAGACAACAGGCTAGGTTCTCGGGGCCAAGGAGAGTTGAGACACCAGACTACAATTCCACAGCTCTGCATTTTAAGTAAGCACCTTTATAAATCAAGTGTCAACAAGTAATGGACTGCCCACCATGACAGCAGTTTGTTATTTTAGACTATAAACATCTTTCAGTAGTAGCTCTGGGCAATTAAAAAGACAGTTTCTCGCCCTGGCTGGTTTGGCTCAGCGGCTAGAGCATCCATCCGCCTGCGGTCCAGAGAGACCCGGGTTCAGCTCCCGCTAAGGGTGCATACCTCGGTTGCAGTTTGTCCCCGGCCCTGGTTGGATCATGCAGGGGGCAGCCATTCGATGTGTCCCTTTCACATCTATGTTTCTCTCTCTCTCTTCCTCTCTCTCCCTCCCACTCTATCTGAACAAAAAATGGAAAAACGTCCTCGGGTGAGGATCAAAATAATAATAATAAAAAGACAGTTTCTCACTCATCCTCCAACAGAGGCAGAGCCCAGTGGGGTTAATAATAATAATGATTCAAAAACACCACTGTCACTTCAGCTGCACTGGGTTCAGTTATTCTGGGAAAGATGATTCTAGTCAACCAAACTGGGATCTTCCAACAGAAAGATGTTCTCCATCTATCGACCTACCCGATGTCTGCTCCACCACAAGTCAAGGAACAAATTGCACCAGGCAGCTTGTTGTCCTCCAGAACCTTGGCGATTATCCTAGAAAGGAAAAACAATTACTACTCAGGGAGCGATATAATTTCCTAGGGTTTTTGAGAAACTAGGAATAAATTCCAACCACCTAACTTTCCTGTTTTAACTCTCTCCCTCCCCTCAAACATCCAGGCCTGGATTTCTCTTCACATAACAGAAATGAGGTTTTCAAACACTTAAAAGCAGAACTCTTTTTCACCTAAGAGAATCTTAAAAAGATTTTTTTTAAAAAAACATGCAAAATAAATAAAAGACATAAAGCATTGGTCAGGTAGTTCCAGGGATCATTATTTTCAAGTATTTTCTGCCAAACTATGAGGACATATCTGATTCAAGATGGTTGACTGATCACACGACATTTTAAAATTTTTGGTCTCTCACTACCTAGCACTAAAATGATGGTAAAGAAATTTTAAGAAGAAATAATAAGGAATAAAACCTAGAAAGATGAAGAAATGAAAGGGTATCCCCATCAGTAAATGAGAGGTTTCAACACCTCCCTGCAAAGTGGAGCCAGCCAGAGAAGTAATTCAGGATGAAAAGATAAAGGGGTCCCCCAAACTTAGAGCAGGTGGTGAGGAGATACAGCATAGGGAGCTGGATCCGCCTGCAAAACCCTAACGTTTAGGCTGCGCGTCCCCGGGCTCCCCATCACACCTGTCGTGGTCGGGAGGTGCGAGCGCCTCCTGGTGAGCACTGTGGGCAAGCGCGGCTTTTCCTTAATTCATCTCCCACAACTTAACACTGTTAGAGCGAAAATGGTCTAAGTATAGGTTGATGTTGATTTACCCTTATTTTGAGTTATAAAAATGGCTCCAGTGATTCTCTTTTCTCTGAAACAGGGTTCTTCATTTTGAGCTTCCTGAGGGGCATGGGCCTTGATAGAGCAAAAGTTCTTCTCATCAATCATCCCAACTTGCTGGCTACTTTCTAATTGGTTTAATTTAAATTTAATACAAGATTCAAATCCTAAATCCACTTCCATAACAAACATACAAATGTAAGTAAATACTCCATTGCGCCCCCCCCCCCCCCCGTGCAAATGTCCTTTATAGACAAGAACCATGATTTTACTCACATGGGTGATATAAAACAGAAAGCAACAAAACAAACTTACAGACACAGACAACAGAGGGTGGGTACCAGAGGGGAAGGAGGTATGGGGAGGATGAAGACAGTAAAGAGGGTCAAATGTACAGTAATGTAAGGGAGGCTAGACTTTAGGTGGTGAACACACAATGCAATATACAGATAACATATTATAGAATTGTACACTTGAAACTTATATAATTATTAACCAATGTCACCTCAATAAACTTAAAATGTCCTTTACAATCATTTCCTTTTTTCCATCCAACCAAGGATCACACACTACAACTGTCATGTCTGAAACCAGGTGTCTGGTTGTATAATTCTTTCCAGAGTCTTAGGGTGTATGTATATCCTGTCTGCACAGCAAACTGGTTGCCCTTGAAGGGTAAGGATTTTGCTCTGTGCCCATGGGTAAAGGTTAACGAAATCCTTTAACCTAATGAATGAGAATCTAATCTTAGGTTAACTTTAGTTTTGTTCCCAGGTTACCTGATAAATGTCAACAACACTACCCACACAGACATGGCTTATGGTAAAAATGACCCGACTGGACAACTGCATCTGTACTAGAAGAACTACCTGAGAACGATAAATCGGAACCTCATACTTTTTGACCTTCCCTGCGTGCAGTGACTCTTGGGAATAAGTCAGGGCAACCCCCACTGCTGTGCACTGTAGATCTCATCTCTTTACCGCTGTGGAAACTGCTACAAAGACACCACTGAAGAAAAACCTAATGCTATTCTATTGGCGAACTAGTATTTCCTTCTCAACAGAGAGGTACGGTATGTGGCCTATGTTCATCGGGGGAGCCTGAACTCCTGTTGGATATGACAGCACCCTTGCTTAATTATGGCAAAATTTAGCATCATTTTACTCATTGTCGTCCATTACAAAAATAAGATATTCTCAGTTACCTAAAATATCAGCCATGCTCCTATGTGAACATTTCAAACCCTTCAAAATGTTTAAAGCCAATAATAAATATAAAACAGCTCAAAGCAACAATAACTTAGAACATTTGAAGCTAATATAAAAACTGACAGTATTTTAAACCAGTTGTTAAATTGGCAAGCCAGTTCTAAGTTTTTAATTAAAAAAAACTGCCTGAGGAATCTCATCATTTTCATGTGTTTAGTATATCAGAGTTCTATGTAGTATTTCATTTGAACACCCCTACTTTGAAGGCTATATTTTCCTCAATAGCACACTTGCTGTTCAATAAATACTATTCTCTTTTTCAGCTCACTTTTCAATTCCTAAGCCAGTATTCCTACATGATCTTCTAATATTAAGGACCTTCTTACATATGGACTCCACCATGAGTACTCTACAACTCTTTAGAGAATATAAAGCATGAAAATGATACCATTGTAATAATTAACCTAGTTATTAATCATAGAAGGAGCAATGGGAAGACCAATAGGCACGTCATTCACCAGGAAGCTAAAGTTTTGCACTGCCCAGGGAGTCAGTGGTCCATTCCCACAGATCCATGGGGCAAGAGGCTAGACAGGGAGGAACAGACGCATGCCCAGTAAAGTTGCAGTGAGAAACTGGGGTGACATCTACTGGGAGAACACTTGCCTGTCAGTCACACCTGGGAACAGGTAATTGGCCAGGATGGGTGTGGCCGCTGCAAGTTAGCAAAGATTTGAGATATTTAATCCCCTAAGGGTCTAAACAAAGGAGTTGGCTCTGGTTTGACTCCAGCTTGCGGAGCTCTCTCCTGCTTCCCGGCATTCTCCCGTGTGGCCCACGGCCATGTGGACCCCACACCCAATGGACTAATGGACTGTAACTAGCCTGACGCTGAACTGGACCTGGCTGCAACATGGAACCGAAACTCTGGACATGGCTTTGCTTTAGCTTTACTGAAATCCCAGCAACACATCTCCTATGACTGGAACAGGACTTGGGAAACACAGGGATATAATTCCATGCAAATAAAATCACTCATCCTCCCATGTGAATCTCAGAACAAAATTTTTTTTCAAATTTTTCAATTTACCCAACAACAAAATCAATCAAGTATGAAAGATGCATCATCCCCCTACATGGGAAGGCACTCTCTTGTATACGATCTCTAAATTCCAGAATGATAAATTAGTAACACTGATTTTATGATGTAATCAGAGTTGTCAAAGTTTTTAAACATGAGTAAATAAAACAATTTTTTAATCAAAAGATAAAATACATTTTAGATAGCGTGAGAAGAATTCATGGAATAAGAGAGTAACCATTTCTTTCTGCTTTACTAACAGTCTATTAAACAAAAGCAATAAAAGAATTAGCTGGGTAGTAATCAAAACCATTAACAGGATGAATAGTTAAAAAAATATAGCCCCTTGCCCAGCTGGTGTGGCTCAGTGGACTGAGTGTCATCCCATGGACTTGAGGTTCCCGGGCAGGGCACATGCCCAGGTTGCAGACTTGATCCCCAGTAGGGGGTGGGCGGGAGGCAGCTAATCAATGTTTCTCTCTCACATCGATGTTTCTATCTCTCTCTCTCTAAAAGTCAATAAAAACATATTTTTTAAAAATAGCCCCTAAATTGCAAAAAAGTTGCCCCTCCAATGGATTTGCCTTTATTTTGCAAGTGACAATAATGTTTATAAGGGATAAATTTTGTCCTGGCCAGTCTGGCTTAGCGGTTGGAGCATTGGCCTGCGGACCAGAGAGTCCCGGGTTTGGTTCCCACTAGGGGCACATACCAAAAAAAAAAAGTTAAATTTTCAACACTTAAATCAATATCTGGTGTGTTTCTAAACAGTTAAATGATGTGGCTATGAAAGAGCTCTATAAACTATAAAACAATATAAAACGTTACTACAATCAAAAGAGAAAGAGGTTATCCAAATCCCACACTTAAATATAACACTTTTACATTGCATTAAAAATTCAGTGCCATGGCCGGCCAGTGTGCTCAGTTGGTTGGGCATCATCCCCTGCACCAGGAGGTTACCAGTTCAATTCCTGGTCAGGGCACATGCCCAGGTTGAGGGCTTGATCCCCAGTAGGGGGTGTGCAGGAGGCAGCCAATCTGTCTTTCTCATTAATGTTTCTATCTCTCTCCCTCTCCCTTCCTCTCTGAAACCAATAAAACATATCTAAAAAGAAAATAGAAGCAAGCCCCAAAGGGCACTATTTATTAAAAGAAAAAAGAAATTCAGTGCCTATCAATCGCCCTTTTGAGATTATTCCGTATCCAGGAAAAAATGCCATACATACTCACTTTGTGACAGCGACGCTAATGAGGGAAGTCGTCGGAGCTCCTTTCCTTGAGAGGGTTAAAAAAAAACAAGTTAATTTGAAAATCATAAATACCTTTATCATCAAGCAGAAGCAAAAGTCCTCTTAGACAACAGAGCCCAGTAACTGAAATAGGAATCTGTCCTTCAGCATGGAGTCTCTGGGACTCGGCAGACTACAAAACTTTCATAAATATAAAAACGGCACAAAGCCATTTTAAATCTGCTTGCAGCACTGATCAAAGGAACTGTTACATTAATCTCTGCCAGTCGTGGCAAATGAGTGAAACGGAAATCAACATGATTTTTGTTGGAAGGTTCAGAGAGCTGCACGAAAGCATGGGTCCCTTCAGCAACCTGGTGCCAAGTCATTCATCCTCCCAACTCTGCCTTGCTTTTGTAGACAGGCTTTGAGTGCATTCGACTGACTACATTCAGATCAGCATACAACTAGAGGAAAGATGCAAAACCACAAGGAAGAAAAGAGAAATCAAGACTGAGTTCAATCACATGTTCAATTATTTAATCAATAATGTCTATGGAATAAGATCCCAATAAAAACTCTGTGGGTTAATTCTAATGAATTATTGAAGCCAAGGGTTCATGGGAACGTCATATTTGTAGATGGCTGGTCAGAACTGCAGATGTTCTGGGGACCTGGGGATACTTGCAGCTTACATCTAAAGTAGAGCCAGGTGCCCGGCTGGTGTGGCTCAGTGGTTGCGTTGACCCATGCACCAAGAGGTCGCCAGTTCAATTCCCAGTCAGGGCACATGCCCAGGTTGTGGGCCAAATCCCCAGTGGGGGTTATGCAGGAGGCGCCCAATCGATGTTCTCTCTCATCGATGTTTCTATCTCTCTCTCCCTCTCCCTTCCTCGCTCTAAAAATTAATGAAGAAAAAAATTAAAGAAAGAAAAAACATGAGAAGCTTGCCCTGGCTGGTTTGGCTCGGCGGTTAGAGCATCAGCCTGCACACCAAAGGGTCACAGGTTCGATTCCTGGTCAAGGGCACATACCTGGGTTGCAGGTTTGATCCCTGGCCCAGTTGTGGTCGTGCAGAAGGCGACCAATCAATGTGTCTCTCTCACATCGATGTTTCTTTCTCTCTTTTTCCCTCCCTCCCTCTTTCTAAAAAAGCAAAGGAAAAATATCCTCGGGTGATGATTACCTCCCCCCCCCACCACCAAAAAAAACATGAGGAGCTTGACAGTGAATTGAGGAAGTCCATGTCAGAATTTGAGTACAGTACACTCGCTTGGGGTGGAACAACTGGAAGGACAGGGCTGTGTCAAAAAAATAACCAAGTCAAAAAGTAAACTTTACCCATGGTAAAATATGTAATAATTCAAAGACGGAGTTTCACAACTAGCAGATATAACTTAAGATGTTCATAGAAAGAGTAGAGGCCTGGCCAGTGTGGCTCCATTGGTTGGGTGTCATCCCAGGCACCAAAAGGTGCCGGTTCGCCCTGGCCGGTTTGGCTCAGCGGTTAGAGCGTCGGCCTGCAGTCCAGAGAGACCCGGGTTCGGTTCCCGCTAAGGGCACGTACTCGGTTGCAGTTTGTCCCCGGCCCTGGTTGGTCGTGCGGGTGGCAGCCACTCGATGTGTCCCTTTCACATCGATGTTTCTCTCTCTCTCTGTTCTTCTCCCTCCCTCCCACTCTACCTGAACAAAAAATGGAAAAATGTCCTCAGGTGAGGATAAAAAAAAAAAAAAAAAAAAAAAGGTGCCGGTTCAATTCCAGGTCAGGACACAAGCCTGGGTTGCAGGCTCAATCCCTGGTAGAGGGCGTGCAGGAGGCAGCCGACTGACGTTTCCCTCTCTCTCTAAAAATCAATTAAAAATCTTTTTTTAAAAAAGAAAAGAAAGAATAAGTAGTAAAACACATTTCGATGCATTTAAAATTCTTTTCGTATCCCTAACAATGACCACTTTCACCTCCTGACTACGATAAGAAAGGGGGCGGGGCTCACCACAGGCAGACGTTCCCGCAGATCATGGCGATGGCGTTGTTCCAGCCGTACACTGCCACCGGGAAGTTGAACGCAGTGATGATCCCAACCAGGCCTACCGGATTCCACTGCTCAACGAGCGCGTGGCCAGGTCCTGAGGACAGGGGAAGGGGAGGAGCGTGCCTAAGCATGTTCGTTTAATGCATGTCTAGTCAATAAGAGCAAAGTCTACAATAAAACCTCTCATTTGCAGAACCAAGGTGCACAGGACCGAGTGGCAATTCCGGCTGCCTCCTAGTGGATCACTTTACATAGCCGTGGGATATTGGTACATTAATCAGCATACTACAAAACCTAATAACCATAATGAGAGACACTGCCTGACCCTCATGGGAACTGATTGTTTTCATCAAGGGCCACGAGAGCCGTGAATAACCAAAGCTAGGCGTGAATAACCAAAGCTAGGCGTGAATAACCAAAGCTAGGCGTGACGGCTCACAGACCCTGGTGAAACCTGGCCAACTGGCAAGGTGGTCGGTGCTCCCCAGCCATCCTCTTCCTGGCCACGCTCCCACTGCCAGCTAGAAATAGGGGAGTCTCCAGTTGCTGCACCCCTTTGCCAGATGCCCCTTAATCCAAGCATCCTGAGCCCCCTTCGGATGACGTGCTGCCACCACATCTTCCGGGCAGGGCTCCTGCTGCCCTTCCCTCCTCCCTCCTCCTCCTCCCCGAGGAGACCAGTGCAGCTCTGCTAACATCACTTCCTTGTTTCAGACCCTCGGGGGTGTGGATCACTGCTGCTGCCGCCCTGCAGCACAATCCAAACTCCCTATCCGGAGGTCTCTCCCACTTCCTTCCCTCCCCTCATACTTTGCCCTCAGCTGTGCTAAAGCAACAGTTCCCCAAACAAGACAGTCTCCCATCCTAAGCTTTCCCTTTTCTCCCTCCCTGTTTAAGACACCGCCTGCCCCAGCACTCCACCCCTCTCTTCCTTGAGGCCTCAACTTGAATTGCTTTCCCTGGGAGGACTGGGATCCCCTTCCCAGCCTAGCTTAGGGGCTCACTGTCCTACCTGCCACCCCAACACAGTACTTACCATGTCCTGTGATAATTATCCACTTACTTATCTCCCACTTGCTTCTCACTCTTAAATGTAAGGAATCTATAGGCTTATAAATTCCTTGAGGACAAGGACTCTGCCTTATTGATCAAGTATCACCTATTAGATCACCTAGTACCTGGGAAACACTCAATAAGCATTAATCATGTTAATAAGCTTGAAGTTACCCCCAAAGCCTCTGCATAGATGAATAATCTACTCTAAACAATATTTTTTTCACCTGGCCGGTGTGGCTCAGTGGTTGAGCGTCGACCCATGTACCAAGAGGTCGCTGGTTCAATTCCCAGTCAGGGCACATGCCCAAGTTGTGGGCCCGATCCCCAGTGAGGGGCATGCAGGAGGCAGCCAATTGATGTTCTCTCTCATCCATGTCTCTATCTATCTCTCCCTCTCCCTTCCTCTCTCTCTTAAAAATTATAAAGAAAAAAAAATTAAAAGAAAACAAACAAACAAAAAAAAACTGCAAACGTTACAAATCAAATAAGCCCTTGTGGTCATCACTGAAACCTCCCAGAGCACAGGGTTGGTCCTCGCAGCATGGTGTAACAGCAGGAGACTGAAAACAGCCATCGCTTGCGAGCTGGTTAAATAAATCATGCATAGTATCTTTACAGCAAATAGACAACCATAAAAAAAGATGAAGGAAGCACGTTAATGAAAGAATATGAAACAATTTCCAAGACCCATTAAGTAGGAAAAGGTATAGAACAGAATGTATAGTTTGCTAATGTCTGTGCTTCCAAAAGCCACATATTTGCCTGTAAGTGAACAAAAGCTCTAGAAAGATATACAAGAAACCAGAAACATTGACTACTTCCATGGGAATACTTTTCATCCATTACTCTTTTATCCCTTTTTAATTTTGTGATATGAGTATATCATCTCTTTAAAAAAAACCATTAAAATAATTAAAAGTAAGTAAATACAACCTTCCCATAAAAGTGTGAGGTTGGAGGAAGGCAATATCCATAACAGGGCTTTCTATTACCTGATAACAGACTGCCAAAATTAGCTCAACCTTGGCCTTATTACATTTAGGTCGTTCTTAATGTTTCCTATTGATACCACAATGAACATTTTTGCACAGAAACTTTTGTCACATTTCAGACTATTACTTAGATTATTGAAACTGATATTAAATGTAAGCCTCTTTGGGTTATTTCCAAATTGTTGTCCAGTTGGATTGGCAATTCATGTTACCACAAGTCCCTATAAAAGAATGTCTATTTCACTCACGAACTTGCCAACACTGAGTTTTATCTTTTTTTTTTTATCCTCATTCGAGGACATTTTTCCATTTTTTTGCTCAGATAGAGTGGGAGGAAAAGAGAGAGAGAGAAACATCGACATGAAAGGTACACATCGAGTGGCTGCCACCCGCACGACCAACCAGGGCCGGGGACAAACTGCAACCAAGGTACGTGCCCTTAGCGGGAACCAAACCCAGGTCTCCCTGGACCGCAGGCCGACGCTCTAACCGCTGAGCCAAATCAGCGAGGGCTGAGTTTTATTTTTAAAAGTAAAAATATTTGCCCGGCTGGTGTGGCTCAGTGCTTGAGCACTGACCCATGCACCAAGAGGTCACTTGTTTGATTCTTAGTCAGGACACATGCCCAGGTTGTGGGACCGATCCCCATTGAGGGGCATGCAGGAGACGACCAATGGATGTTCTCTCTCATCGATGTTTCTATCTCTCTCTCCCTTCCTCTCTCTCTAAAATCAATAAAGAAAAAAATTAAAATAAATAAAAAATAAAAGTAAAAAAATTTTTCAAATGTCTTAATCTGATGTTTTCATCAGTTTCAATTGACATTTCTGAGGAGAAAGATTAAAGATATTTTCATTCCTTTATATGTAGCTCACAAGTCCTCGTCTGTAAACTGTTCGCAGTCGGCATTTTTCAGAGCTCCCTGTATCAGAGTGCAGCACTCTTAGCCTAGGTGACTTCGTTGCTTACTCTCAGACGGCAGGATGGGTCCCCCGATCATCCGTGATAAGCCAACAGCATAATCACAAATATCCACGTATTCTTGAACTTCTCCCACACCTTCTACTAAGATTTTCCCCATCTCCAAAGACACCTAAAAATACAAAAAGCCAAGCTACATTTTCTCCAACAGAACTCATATTTTACACATTAAAATGACAAAGGGTGGGGGGGACGCAAAACATAGTTTGTGTCTCTTTTGTGAAGGTAATAACGTCAGAAAAATCTGTTCTTATTTTTCTGAAGAATTTTAAAATGCAGTAACAGTCGTCACCTTCTCCTGTCCATCTTGTTCATCTTTCCTCTAGAGAAAAGACTTTTGAAATGTATAAATTGCTTTTCCTAAAAATCACAGTCTTGCCTGGCCAGTGTGGCTCAGTTGGTTGGGCGTAGTCCCATGCACCGAAAGGTTACCAGTTTAATTCCCAGTCAGGACACATACCTGGGTTTCAGGCTCTGTCCCCAGTAGGAGGCATGCAGGAGACAACCAATCGATGTCTTACTCTCACACTGATGTTTCTCTCTCTCTTTCCCCCTCCCCTTTCCTCTGTCTCTAAATAGCAATAAAAGAAAAAAAAATATTTAAAAGAAAATCATAATCTTGGCCTGGCTGGGTGGCTCAGTTGGTGGGAGCATCGCCCCATACACCAAAAGGTTTCAGGTTTAAATCCCAGTCAGGGCACACACCTAGATTGTGGGTTCGATCCCCAGTTGAGGCATGTACAAGATGCAACCAATGTTTCTCACATTGATGTTTCTTTCTCTCTATCTCTAAAATCAATACAAACATATCCTTGGGTAAGGATAAAAAAATAAAAACAAAAATCACAGTCTTATATACAGAAATGTGTGATGGTCTTACTCCTTTTTAAAGGATTATATTTTTATTACATAAATACTTTACCAAGCTTCCTAATACTTGAATCTTCTCCCGCAAGGCATCACCAATTTGTCTCACAACTTCTCCTCGCTTTGGAGCCGGAACCTAAGGAAGGAATGGAATTTTAGTGTCTGATTCGAAGTATAAATTCTAAGGTTTGGCGGGTGGGCTCAGTTGAGTGTCTTGCCATGCATGGATAGGTCACCGGTTCAGTTCCAGGTCAGGGCATGTACCTGGTTTTTGAGCTCAATGCCCTGTAGGGGGCATGCAGGAGGCAACCAGTCAATGTTTTTCTTTCACTGATGTTTCTCTCTGTGTAAAATCAATGAAAACAGATTTTTAAAAAAAGAAAGTAGCCCTGGCCAGTTTGGCTCAGTGGTAGAGCATCGGCCCGCAGACCAGAGTCCTGGGTTCGGTTCCTGCTAAGGGCACGCGCATCAGTTGCACTTTTCCCCGGCCCCGGTTGGGGTCGTGTGGGTGGCAAGCAGTCAATGTGTCTCTCACATCGATGTTTCTCTCACTTTCTTCCTCCCTCTCTCACTCCTGCTCTATCTGAAGATAAATGCAAAAATGTCCTCGGGTGAGGATGAATTAAAAAAAAAGAAAGTAGAAGAAAATTATGGGCGACGGAATAGAGCACTTGAAAGGCCAAAAGGCAAGAAAAAATGTGGTAGTTTTGGGAAAGTGTAGGGAGTTCAAAGAGGCAGGAGAGGACTGCAGGGGTCACACAGCAAAGGGCCATTTTAAGACCAAAAACAGTGAGGCAATTACCAGAGGGTTTTAAATGGTGTGTGTGTGAAGGGGAGGTTGGGGGGTGGGAGTGGATCACAGCGCATTTTAAAATATCACTCTAGTTGTACTATAGAAAATGAACCAGCCCTGGCCGGTTTGGCTCAGCGGTTAGAGTGTCGGCCTGCGGTCCTGAGAGACCCGGGTTCGGTTCCCGCTAAGGGCGCGTACCTCGGTTGCAGTTTGTCCCCGGCCCTGGTCGGTTGTGCGGGTGGCAGCCACTCGATGTGTCCCTTCACATCGATGTTTCTCTCTCTCTCTCTCTGTTCCTCTCTCTCCCTCCCACTCTACCTGAACAAAAAATGGAAAAATGTCCTCGGGTGAGGATAAAAAAAAAAAAAAAGAAAGAAAATGAACCAGAGGAAAATAAGAATTGGGCAAGGAGACCATTAGGCCAAACCAGACATGGTGGCTGTCTAGACGGACTACAAAAATGGCAACAGTGCCCCGCCAGCGTGGCTCAGTGGACTGTCATCCCATGGACCAGGAGGTTACCAGTTCAATGTCTGGTCAGGGCACATGCCTGGGTTTCAGCCTCCATTCTCAGTGGGGGGCATGCAGGAGGCAGACAATCGATGTTCTCTCTCATTGATGTTTCTAGCTCTCTCTCCCTTTCCCTTCCTCTCTCTCTCTCGAAAATCAATAAAGAAAAAAAAATATTTTTTAAATAAATAAAAGCAAAACATTATTAAAAAATGGCAACAGAGAGAAATATAATTTAAGATGTTCAAGACGTGATCATTGAAAACTGGTCATCAGCCCTGGCTGCTTTGGCTCAACGGTTAGATCGCTGGCCTGCCAACCGAGGGGTCTCAGGTTCGACTCCTGGTCAGGGCACATGCCGGATTGTCCGCTGGATCCCTGGTAGGGGGCATGCAAGAGGGAGCTGATCTATATTTCTCTCTCTTTCTCTCTCTCTCTCTCTCTCTCTTTCCCTCCCTTCCACTCTAGGTAAAAAATCAAAAGAAAAATATCCTCAGGTAAGGATTAACTAAAAAAAAAAAGAAAACTGGTCATTGATTCTCAAGCCTGACTATACATTAGAATCACTAGCGATGTAACTTTTATTTTTAAATTTTTTTTATTTTTATTTTTTTAGAGAGAAAAGGAGGGAAAGAGAGAGAAACATCAATGTGAGAGCAAAACATAGATTGGCTGCCTCCTGCACACCCTCTGCCAGGGAGCCAGCTGGCAACCCAGGCACGTGCCCTGACTGGGAATCAAACTGGCAACTTTTCAGTGCACAGGATGACACCCCACCCACGTAACTTGTGAACTAGATTACAGTTTAGACCGCTCAATCTTGCATCCTTTTCCACCCCGATTTCCAGATGATCTGCACGAACGGCAAGAGTAGAGAGCGACAGGATTAGGTTTGGGGAAAGGGAATCGCCGGGGGAGAAGGAAACAAGGAAGAAAGTCACATCTTCCATGCGAGCTTGATCAGTCTGCGCATAATAGGGCATCAATAATCTCAGAACCTCCTGAGGTGGCCAACAAGGGTCCTTGTCCCTGCACACTTCACTCATGAAGTCACACTTAGAATTAGCATCAACGACGGCCACGTGGAGGGGACTGTGAGCCGTTGGGGAATTAATACAATGACACCCATGTTAGAGAGCTACCAGGTATCTGGTATTCCTTTATTCAGTTAAAGATGGCCCAGGGACAGTTCCTATCCTCAAGGGAGGAAAGAGACTCTGGCTCTTCCTGCCCAGAGATGGAGAAAAAGAATGAGGATGCGGAGGGCAGAGAGGTGGCCTTCGGAGCTGGAACTGTTTCATGAAAGAAGGCAGCGCTCAGTATTCCCAACTAGGTTCTCTGTGGTTCCTTCCAGTTAAGAGGAAGAAATCAGTTTTTATAAACTAGTCTTCTGTATTTTTATACTTTGTTCCTTTTCCCTTCAAGAAAAATGCTCCCTTTGAAAAAGTCCTGGCTCAACTAAAAGGAACTAAATGAAACCCTGCTTTGTCCTCGCACAGGCGAGGCCAGCCAAAAGGATCGTGGTTGGCGAGGGGCTCCACACAAGTGAGGACCAAGAGGGAAGGGGCATAGACCAGGAGGGAACCGAGCTCTGGTCTGTTCCTCTTTAGACCCCACCATCCTCCAAGTCACCGCCCCCATTGGCAGAAGCCCCAGGGGCATTTAGGAAAGTCTCTTCTTTAAACTTTGAACTCAATCGCTTCACTCAAATTCTAACAAGTGGATCCCCAACTGACTCTCCCACCACCCAGAAAAGCACCTGTTCCCACTTAGCAGCCCCCACTCCCACCCTACCAGGAGGTCTAGAGAGTATGAGAAAGGATGTACGGCACAGAGTCCGGCACTGTCGAGCAAGAGCAGACTGCCAAAGAGATCCTGAATGCAAACAGCAACCAAGCCCGGCTGGTGTGGCCTGGTGGTTGAGCACCGATCCATGCATAAAGAGGTTGCTGGTTTGATTCCCGGTCAGGGCACATGCTTAGGTTGTGGGCCAAATCCCCAGGGGGGAGCGTGCAGGAGGCGGCCAATCCACGTTCTCTCCCATCGATGCTTCTATCTCTCCCTCCCTCTCCCTTCCTTTCTCTCTAAAAAAAGAAAAACCACCACCAGTACAGCCCAGTATTAAAGATAGAAGTCACAAAGTCAGCCGTCACCCCCTAGAGCAAAGACAGGTTCAGAAGACGACCCTGAATTCACACTGACTCCCTTCTCATGTACGACTATAGTCACCCTGGGTAAATACACACACACAATAGATGTTTCTAGTCAGATGTTTCACTAGCATTCAAAACAGTGTATACAGCCCTGGTCGGTTTGGCTCAGCACTTAGTGCGTCTCGGTCCGCAGACCGAAGAGTCTTGGGTTTGATTCCGGTCAAAGGGCATGTACCTTGGCTGCGGTTTGTCCCCGGCCCTGGTTGGGGTCGTGTGGGAGGCAACCAGTCAATGTTTCTTTCTTTCTCCCTCCCTCCCAGTCTATCTAAAGATCACTGGAAAAATATCCTTGGGTGAAGATTTTTAAAAAACACAGTGTATACAAAAAGTGAAATCCTAATATAAATGACAGACTTTGTATTTTTAATGATAACATATCAATATTGATTGACTAATTTCAAGAAATGTACCACATAAATGCAACATGTTAATAAACTTCCTAAGAGTGATGGGGGAACAAGGAGAGAAAGAACCCTGTACTTTCTGCTCATCTTTCTGTTAAGAAGGCTCAGAACAAGTCAACAGAATGGACCACACTAACATGTGGATTACTCTTTTTTTTTCTTTATTGATTTTTAGAGAGAAAGGAAGGGAGAGAGAGAAATACTGATGAGAGAGAACATCGACCGGCCTTCTCCTATATGCTCCCCACTGGGGATTGGACACCCAACCTGGGCATGTGCCCTGACCAGGAATCGAACCAGTGACCTCTTGACGCATGCATGGGTCGACGCTCAACCACTGAGCCACACCGGCCAGGCCATGTGGATTACTTTGTGCTGAAGGCACTCAAGACCCAGCAGACTCTGGAAAAGCATCTCACCTCCCCCTTAACTTCCTAGAAGAACTTAGAAAGGGGGGCCTGTGTCAGGAAGAGGGCCATTACCAGATATAACTTTCTGTATGTGAGAGATTTATCTTCATAGCAGGGCGAACATTTGTTTAAAGCCCCAGATCCCTATTCATTCCCTTCCCTCAGGAGGCTATAAGTTACCTGGCTGCCTCCACGTTTCACATCTTCGAGGGGCCCTGTATATACAGAACTAAAATCTGTTATTCTGTTAATCTGTCTTTTGACAATTTAATTATTAGACCAGACACAGTACCTAGAATTGAAGAAGGGAAATTTTTTTCCTCCCCTACACTATAAACCTAAAACTGCTCTAAAAAATAAGTCTATTGATTGTTTTGAATTTTTTTATTTATTGATTTCAGAGAGAGGAGAAAGGAGAGAGAAACGTCAATGTGTCGTTCTACTTATTTATGCATTCATTGGTTGTTTTTCTTCTATGTGCCCCGACCCTAGATCGAACACGAAACCTTGGCATGTCCAGACGACGCTCTAACCAACTGAGCTACCCAAGAGGGCTAAGTCTATTAATAAAGCAAAACAAAACAAAAAGGCCTGGCCAGTGAGACTCAGTGGTTGAGCATAGTCCAGACACCAGGAGGTCACTGCTTTGATTCCCATTCAGGGCACATGCCAAGGTTATGGGCTCGATCTCCAGCAGGGGGCGTGCAGGTTCTCCCTTCCATTCTCTGAAATCAATAAAAACATGTATTTAAAAAATAACATAAAGAGGGGGAAAAAATGGCGGCGGAGTGAATGGAGCTACACAG